TTTTTACTATGGAAAAAAAAATTAAACAACGAGTTTGTTTGAAATTTTGTGTTTCCAGTGAAATTACGGCTACGGAATCATTGAAAATGTTGCAGAAGTGTTTTGGGGAGTCTACTCTATCGAGAACGCAAGTATTTGAGTGGCATAAAGCATTCAGTGAGGGTCGTGAGGTCGTAGAAAACTTGCCTCATGCGAGTCGTCCATCCACCTCTGTTAACGACGATAACATGGAAAAAGTGAAGGAAATTGTGCTTGAAAATCGTCGTGTTGGCATTAGAGAGATAGCAGAAGCTCTCAACATCTCTTATGGATTGACTCAACACATTTTGGTTAATGTTTTGGGTATGAAGCGCATCGCCGCCAGACTCGTACCGAAAGACCTGAATTTTTTGCAAAAAGCACGTCGAGTAGAGGTCGCAGAAAAGTAGATTCCCCAAAACACTTCTGCAACATTTTCAATGATTCCGTAGCCGTAATTCCACTGGAAACACAAAATTTCAAGCAAACTCGTTGTTCAATTTTTTTTTCCATAGTAAAAATCGCCAGACAAACTTTTTGCGTCGTAAACAAATGGCGTCGTAACAAACACACACTAATTGACGTATCCCGCTCAAACTTCACACGAATGTCAGAGAAGGTTGTACCAATCTAGAAAAAAAAATTTTTACCGATTCAATTTACGCGTGCGGTTTAAATGGACCAGTCCGGGTCAAATTTGATCAGATGGTATACTCAAAAACCCGTAAAAAGAAATGGGCCATTATAATTATTACATTATAAATATTACAGTGGCCCGCTTTTTTTGCGAGTAAGTGTATAATCGATTACTCTTACGCTAATGTATTGTATAATTACCATTCAAATTGTTACAGATTCAGCAGTTTGGTATTCAAATTTTGCAAAGTCCAGTAACATTTTCCGTATTTGGTCTTACTCTTGATATGCGTGTTTTAAGCATGGTGTGTATCAAATTATTATGTATGAAACATTGCTATTATATCAGCGTTTATTATATAAAACGATTAAATTTATATGATTAAAAATATATTATATGTAACTAAAAAAAATTCAATATTTTTCACATTAAAAAAAAAGGAAAATTATTTTTATAATTCTATTTCTAATCGCAAATGCATCATATTTATACTCTTTTTATTTACAGATTTTAAAATCTGTAACGATCTATGTGGTTATTATGGTACAAGTGAGCATGACATTGGAATCGGACAATGCCGCGCGAGATGTGCATTTTTGAAGAATTATAAATATTAAATGCAGATTCTATAATAGAATATTTTAATTATAAAAGAATTAATACAGTATATCTAGTAAATGTCGCAGATTGTCATAAAAATAAAAGCTACGTAAAATAGAGTGGGGTGGTGTGACGACCTATAAATTATTTAATTATTTGTTCCTGTATTTTTTTCAATATGCACGATAATTGCTATAATTGTAATTATAATAAACATGCAATATATACTATGAAATAAAATTTTTGTAATGTAGCTCGCTTGGCAATTTTACATTTGAAATAACTTTCTACGCCAACGTCGGTCTAAATAATGTTATGCTCTGGCTGATTGTGGAGGAAGGAACTTTAAGGGATTACCCTATAGAGGCTAACATTCCTGCGCGCGAAAATTTTGAGGTTTAAATTTTACTTTAAAAAAAGATTAATTTTTATGTTATAAATATCAGCTGTTTAATGAACTCCAGAAATAAATTATTAAACTTGATTTATCTTGGTCTCAGCTCTTGCATCTTTTTGTCTTTAAATAAAAATTCATAGAAAAACGCCAATGTTATTTTTTAACTTTCACAACATATGAAGGTGACAAAGATAAAATATCATGGGACAAATGGGATTAGAGGATTATCAGAAGTGGTACCTGTATCAGCTTCACTCCTTTACATTCATTGTGGTAATAAATTCATCATATTTATAGTGATCAATCATAACGGAATGTTCGTGAAAAATACGCCTATACACATTAGAAACGCTATCATGACCGCCGACATAAATTATCTCGTCGACTCGTCGATTTAATCTACGTGACATGTTCTTGTGCGTGCACCGGATAGTATTGACGCTCTCTATGATATACACAGTATGCTCAATGTTTTAATTAGTAATAGTAATGAATTATGAGTTATAACTGTATTACATAATATATATTCAATAAGAAATAAATTACGAGTGAAGAGAATTTTCATGTTATTGTAGTATTTAATTGGTTACAGTTCCTGAATTTTCTTTTGTTTGCCATTAGTCAATTTTATTTCTAGGAATTAATCTTCTCAAGGTAATATAAAAAATTTCCCGCATGGACATAACAGTCTTTACGCAAAAATTGCAACGTTTTTAGATGGAAATAATACGTTCGGGAATATTTTTAAAATCTGTTTTTGGATTTGTTCAACCATTTGTATAACAAATGTATAGCGATTTATTGTCTTCACTATATATTCCTCATGCATCTGCATACTCAGCAACAATCATGCAGCGCAACAATCTTTCGCCAGCAATCATCTTTTTCCAGAAACGTGTTGCTGTAGGTCTTGGATCTAGCATCTTATGATATTACCTGCATCAAGGTAATAAAAAAATGATCCCTGTGCGCATGATTGTACAACTAATTACTCGTTGGTTAACAGGCAGAGTTAATTCCTTTTATAGTTACGTATACTATAGGATCGCTTCAATGGCTATCGCGGAGGCTTGTTTGCGCACATTCGTTTAGTACACTTGCGTTCTTCATAATAATCGTTTATGAACTCATGTGTGTTCCTTTATTTATTAAAAGTCGATCATTGACTTATGAATTGCGGGAAAACGAGAGCAAATAGAGCAAAGAAAGAAAGAGAGAAAAGAGCGAAGAACAGTGAATAGCATCGTGGTTTGATTTAACATAATCATCAACCATTTTTGCATAGATTTCCAAGTATAGCACATTGCGTGATATTTTCACATATGTAATATTTATACGTTAGTTTTATTTAATTATACATTATTTTAATTACATAGCAATTAATATACACTGCTGGAATTAACACTTCCTTGTAATTAATGCTGGACGCGAGAACGACAAGAAACTCTGGGAGATATATCACTTTGGTTTTTTTTAACATCTCAAGTATTCGATCATCAGTTAAAGATTAAAAACAAAGACATTTCGTTTAAGTAAACGATAGTCGAGGAACATCGTACGAAAGAGAAGAATCTGACAAGATGAAGCTATTTACGCGTCCAAAATGCTTCTCCGAAGCGATAGCATTGATGACAAGTCTCAACTGTTTATTGGGACTTCGTGCTTTTGAATATCCTCGTGGTTATTCAAGACCTATACTCAGTCTGATCTATCTTTTGTTTATATGTGGTATATATAGCTGTAGCTCATTGTATTTGGAAAGAAAATACAATGCAAACGTTGCACTGATGAAGCTGGAATACATCCTATATGAAGTATTGATGTACATTATTATTGTGTCTGTGATTCTCAAGATGTTACTAGGCTGGTGGCATACGAAGGTGAGCAAACGATACATTAACATGATGTCTTATAAGTGATTGTTATACTGCTTATTTACAAGCTATATAATATAATTTTAAGAAAAAATTATGCATTTGTATAAATTATAATATTATTTTATCATAAATTGATATGTGCAGAAATTTAAAGTTTGTTGTAAAAAGATCTTCGAGATTGATGAAACATTGCGACAGCTTGGATTGTCGGTGAATTATGACAGGATATATTTTATGACGAATGGAATAATAATTATGTGGATTATAACCATTATCATTGCGAACATTGTATCTTTTAATCACTTAAAGAAACGTGTGGACACATTTACTGCAATTCACATTTTATTGATGTACATGTATTCGTTGAGTGTCAACGGTATTAACGTCTTCGAATTCTACATATTTCTAAAGTATGTAAATTGATTCTAAATAATCCAGTTTAAGTATATTTATTAGATATATTTATTAGATATATATTTATTAGATATACTCACTAATCCTTATGTAAAAAATTAGTAATCCATGTTTTACTTAACATAACTTATTACATATAACGTTATCGTTGATATTATGTATACATTAATATATATGTTCGTGAATTAGTGATGCCAGAAAGGGGTGGTTCTACCTGAAAAAATAAATCGAAAGCGTAGAATATAATTTTTTCATATGAGGTTTTCTTTTCGAGAAAATCAATTTTAAATATCCGCCGGATGTGCATTTAACTATGTATGTCTCGACTTAATGAATCTCACTATAAATTTTTATCTCTGTTCAGGCTTGTGTTTATTATTGTACTAGTCGAGAATACACAGTAAAAGCAGAATATTTACGCACGATAAATTTTATTACTTCATAAATTGTTAAAAGTGCTGACCATTCTGTTGAATATATAATTCTGCTCTTCAAAGTAAATTTCTATGAATGCTTTTCATCGTGTTCGTTTAATTTATCAATTAACGCATCATATTCGACGAATCTTTAAAATCGATTTTCTCGAAAAAAATCTTATTAAAAATTTTATTTTATTTTTCTATTCATTATTTTGTAAAATCACCCTCTTACTAGTACTAGCTATCGGTTCACAAATATTTTGTATATAATTTTCTTTGTAATTTTGTTTTGTATCATTAGCAAATGAATTTTAATTTATTATATAATTATGAAAAAATATACAAAAAAAGACAGAAGAAAAGAGAGATAGAGATAGATAGATAAATAGATAGATAGATAGATAGAGAGAGAGAGAGAGAGAGAGAGAGAAAGAAAAATGCAAGAGTTTTCAAATACACTTAATATACTATTATAACAATGCAGGTGTTTACAAATAAAATTCAAATTAATCAACCAACTCTTGTGCGACAAATTAACAAATTTATTAACAAAAGAGATAAAATTGGGCATTTTTGAATTGAATGATTATGCCAAAATTATGAAAGTCGAACAAAGGAAGTATATTTTTTCGAAGAACATGATTCAATTACGTCGGCGGAAGCAGTCTCGAATGAATGTTTTTGTGTCAAAGGAGAGTCAAAATCGAGTTGTATCTCAAATTGAAACTGAGTTCGTTCCACCTCAGTTCAAAAAAGAATTGCAAAGTAAACTCCAAAATCGATCTCGAAGACACAGTGCCACGATGGCAAAATGTCAGGAACGTAAACATCTGTTACAGATAATCAAGTAAGTACAGAGATTATAAGGTACATTGTTATGAAATAAATTCTATAAAAAATATATTTGGACCATAGATTACAATCAGCTTTACAACTAGTAAAAATTGTAGAAATAAAAATTGATAATATTTAAAATCCATCATATTTAATGTGATATGAATAATGTTCAAAGTCAAATTACTAAGATATTTAAAATTTACAATTTTCTGCATAACGCTTAGAATATTTAATCTCTCTTACGAGCCAAATTCTCCAAATTCAAAACCAGGAAAGAATCTAAAAAACCCAGGGCGAATGAGAGTCTGCGTGGTACGAGTAGTCAATACGCAAAGTTTAATCTTAAAACTTTATTTCATGAATCCAAATAATCTTTGTACGTTTCGATTCGCTTTGGAGTTCTCCTCAGCAATAACTACAAAGTTTCTCCTTTGCATGTTTAAAACGAAGTCATCATTAAATTTACAGATTTGATGTTGTACAATTTTAAACATGAAAAGAAGCCGTCTTGAAACATTGAATCAAATTATAATGATTAATACAGTAAAATAACATTACAAATTGATTACACATTAAACAATTTTTATTAATATGTAATTTATAAGAATTCTTTAATCTGTAATTAATTTGTTGATTATATAACATCAAATCTGTAAATTTGATGGTGATTTCATTTTAAACATGCAAAGGAGAAACTTGTAGTTATTGTATTACTGAGGAGGATTCCAAAGCGAGTCGAAACGTTCAAAGATTATTTGGATTCATGGAATAAAGTTTTAAAATTAAACTTTGCTGACTATCACACTGACTCTCATTCGCCATTGGTTTCTTGGATTCTTTTCTGGTTTAGAATATTTAAGTTAGGTTTTTTTAGAGCTATTTTAAGAAACAAAAAAGTTTTTTCTTTAAATAAAAATATTCCTAATTATCTTTGAATGGTTTTAAGACAGGTGCATCTGGAATTGTGTAAAATAACAAAACTGGTATGCACTATCCTTGGAGTACAAATGGCTTGGGAGATAGGAGAAATTATCGTAATTCTCACTGGATCACTTTATTATTTCTACATTCGATACATTACACAGCAGTACAAAATTTTGCTAGAGCAAACAATTTTGATATTGGCATTCAGTTCTCTGAGCATTTTGAAAGCCGTTTATTTGAGTCGCGTTTGCAAGGATGCAGCTGATGAGGTAGTTTATCTCGTCTATCATTGTCTAATACTAATTATAGATTTTATAATTGAGCTAACACACTTACAGGCAAACAAAACCATTGAAATCATTCACGCTATTTATGGATGCGACGCAGATACTGATATGCAGGAGGAAGTTTGTTTGCTATTATATTGTTAAATTGTTATATATAATTAATTGTTGTTGATGTATTACATAATTATCGTTCTCAATTGTTTCAGATTCAACAGTTCAGTATTCAAATTTTGCAAAGTCCAAAAACATTCTTTGTTTTTGGTATCACTCTGGATAATCGTATCTTAAGTTCGGTTTGTATCAAATTGTTGCATCTAAAAGAGAGAAAGAGAAACGTTGTTACATTAGTGATTCTTAAACAAGATGACGGAATTTCTATAATTATATTTACACTTCATTTTACAGATTTTGAAAACTGTAACGACCTACATAGTTATCATGATACAAATGAGCCATGCGCTGGAATCGAACAATGATGTGCAGCTAGATGTAGAATTATAAAGAATTATACATATACATAAAAATAAAAGCTCGTAAAATAAAGTAGTAGCATTCTATAAAATATTTAATAAATATCTTTCTTTAATCTTTAGAATGAAATTTTATTCATCGTAATTTTATGAACGGTACCAGCGTTACACGTCTCTCCCTATTTTATAGATAGGGATAAATCTATGGTACAACTGGTCAAGGTGATTCTTTGTACAAACATAAGTAAAAAATGCAGATTAAACTTTTTTCATCGGAGCTTTTGTTGTGAGCAATTATTTTTTCTTAATAAAATAGATAAAATTTAATTATGGTTTAATCTTGATTACATTTTTTTAAATTCTGCCACTCGTGAAGTTATGTAGATAATATATTAACATGATAACGTTTAGTGTTTTTTCACGAATCGTATCTTTATTAAGTACACACATATAGTACTTTGTAAACTTGATTTTCTGAAACAAAGCCTCGGAGAAAAAAGTTTATTCTGCATTTTTTACTTATTTTTGTTCAAGGAATCATCCTCTGTCGATTGTAATACAGATTTTTTTTGTCCCCATCCTGTATTTTTGTAAATATTACAGATAAAACTTTTTACAAATATAATATAAAAGAAATTAGTATATTATTTAATATAACGATAACATAAGTTTTAAATAAATTAATTTGATAAATTTATATATAACGAAACGATAATAATCCATTTTTAGATGTTTAACTTTTTCAACTTGAAAAAGCCGACTATGTGGTTGCAAATGTCAACCACAATGAAAAAATTTGTGCTGAACATAAAAACATAACGCGATAGTAGGTATAAGCATACACTTCGAAGAAATGTGTGCGTCAGTAATTAAATATTCTCGGTTCCATTTTTATATTCGCTAGATATTCAATTCCTTTTACGCTATCTACGATATTATTGCATGTGGTATTCGAGATTTATATAGCGGAGTGTATGATCTCTCAAACGTCGAGTTTTTTGCACAATAGTTGCTTGTAATTGTTGTAAATACGCCAATTATAACTAATACGTAACGTACAACTTAATACATAAAGTACAACTTTTGCAACGATATTAAATATACAAAGATGTTCTAGGAATTTATAAAATTATTCTGTAATTATTAATAATTTACAGAATAATTTTGTCTAATATCTATTAAAAATCTTTTTATTGCATATCAATTCTCTATTTTACAAATATCAGTTACACCAACTTGCATTTTTAATCCTCGCATTGTCGTTAATAAGATAGCTCTTAGCTTGATACTTCGCACATATCGATCTTCTTAATGAAGTCTCCTGGGCATTCATCCATTATGAGATCACGAACACCCGATATATTTGTCGCTTAGTTCGCATAGCCTGTCTTGTAATCGTTTAAATTTATCACATTAACACTATAATATAATATAATATTACCGTTTCAATAATCAATAATTAAATTTCATTATGTTTATCCAGCATTTCACAAATTAACACATCAATTAATGAAATTCGCTATAATCTTTAAAAAATTTGCTTAAAACATCCCGTGATATGTGATGATACTATTTCGCAATGTAATTAAAAATAATTAAATTAATACTGAAAAAGTTTTAATCAAGAGATTACATTTTCCTTTCGATTTCTTTTTGTTGCAAAAAACTATTACTAACATGGACTGGTAAAAATAATAAAACACGTAGAAAATTCGATATTATGTGTCGTGCTGATCTTTCTTCAAGGATTAAAAACAATTGCAATTTTTAAAAATAAATCTCTATTGCAATCTGTCTATAATTTGTCTACAAAGACATTATTTCGATAATTTAAGCGAGTGAAATTTCAGAAATTTTGCAATTCCGCGGTATATTCGCAGTGGAAATAAAAAAAAAGGCGCGGACGATTATTTACATATATATGCAATACGTTCACAGGCCGATATCGACTATATAAGACGTGCAAATAAATCCTTTGAGGCATTATGAGGTATCGCGACCTTCGTTTACTTGGATCGCGCGTTGATCACTTCACCGCCGCCATCTGTTCGATTACCTTTGACCACCCACCTGTATCAGAGGTGATATTTATTATTACCACTAGTCGCACGTGGTATGGAACACTCTAGGTGACTAGCTATGATATTCATCGTTCATTTCTTGGTCACGAGGTGCTCATACGTGTAGTCGATGGCAAAGAGCGTTGTTGTTCGTCGTTATCGAGATCTCGGGCATATCTCGCAGTCATCCACGAAGATATTCCAGCAAAAAACTATGAAGATGATCACGCCGATGTTAGTGGTAAACGACACACGAATTTGAATCAGCAAGCGAGTCAGGATGTTAAAATCGCGTAGAGGAATTCGGAAAAAAACTAGTTGTCAATTAAAATCGCATAGAGGAATTCGGAAAAAAACTAGTTGTCACAGTTTCTGAATAGTGATCTTTAGACAAAAGTATAAGTAAGATTTTTAAATACTATATCCATTATGATGTACCTACATCCCTTAGGTATTAAAAGAAATATTACTCCCACATATATCATCGTACAAATAATAAGTTATTTTATTTTAAATGCGAAAATATCACATATATCATCGTACAAATAAGTTATTTTATTTTAAATGCGAAAATGTGACAGTTAGTTTCTTACTAAAATAATCTAATTTAACTTTAGTCTCGGTTTAGTTTATTCTTTATCTTTTTCTAATTCTTAGAATTAGAAAAAAATGAAGAGTTGGTTGAACCGAAATTAAAATTAAACTGCATTGATAGAAATGGATATTATTGTAACAACTAATCCCGGCTCATTTTTGTTAAAATATACAGTTTTTAGTAAGAGTTTATGACCATAAATTTAATTACAATTATGATATAATAATGATTAACTAACTAAATGATGAAGCAAAAATTATCTAACAATAAAACATACCATTTTTTACAATTATAGGATAGAAAAATCGCGATTTGTCAAAAACTTATCAAAGCAGCAAAGGAGAAAAAATATTTAATTACCAGCTTCATTTTCTTAAAAGTCATTGTAAGTAATATACACGATGCTTTTAATGCAAAACGTTTTAACAATAAATTAATATCATATATTAGTAATTTACAATAAAAGGAATAGAATACGCTGAATCATATTGATTAAGTTAGCTTTTTGATAATCGACCCCGGTTCCTCTACTCATTGATTTGCCTGGTGGTCTACGCTTTGATGAAGTTGTCGATTGAGCACTTGATCGCTTGTTATTTGCAGAAGACGAACTCTTTCAAGATAACTTCACATTTTAAGTAATTCTCTGTACCAACATCTATCTGACGTTACTCTTCATTCTGTGCGGCTGATTGAAAAGAAAGGTAACTTAATTTAAAAGGTTACCGTAGAGACTGACATACCCGCATGCGAGAATTCTGAGATCTAAAGTCTAATTAAAAAAAAAAATTCATTTTTATATGCTATAAATATAAGTTCTTTTTTCAATTCTAAAAGTAGTTTATCAAACTTGATCTATCAAACATAGTTTTGCGCGATCTTTTCGTCTTTGAATCGATAGAAAAATGAGAATGTTATTTTTCAATTTTCGTAGAAAGGCAATGATGATTCTGATGTTCAAAAAAATCATGAAGGGAATGGAATTACAGAAGAATATCCGAAATTGTATTTGAATCAGCTTTATTCTCTTATATTTATCATGGTAATATTATTTATTATATTTATAGTAGTCCGTTATGACGAGATGTTCGTGAAAAATGCATATTAGAATTGTTATTAATGTTATTATATTCGGGATTTAATTAAATTATCCCGTCGGCTTACTTTACGTGAGCCACGCGTCGTTCTTACCCTATACTGCAGGATATATGGCATTGACGCTTTCTATGGTATAGTATGCACAATTTATAAATTAATAATCGATTATGAGTTGTGTGACTGTATTACACATTACATATTCAATAAGAAATAAATTACGAGCAAAGACAATTCTCACGCTTGTCTTTAATTTATCGCAGTTCCCTGACTTTCCTTCAATTTGCCTTTGCATTAGTCAATTTTATTTTTAAGAATTAATCCTTTCTCAAGTAGGTAATGTGAGAAATTCCTCGTGGGGACCATAATAGTTTTTATGCAAAAAGATATAACGTTTTTGAGAGGAAATAACACGTTCTAGTCGGATATTTCTTCAATATTTTTGGATTTCTTAAAGGCTGCGGTCCACTTGACGCTACAAACGCTTCGAAGCGTTTGAGCGACCAATCAGAACAAAGAATTTTACGAATTGACTAATCAAAGAATGCTTCGAAGCGTTTGTAGCGTCAAGTAGACCGCAGCCTTAATTATACATAATGCGTTCATTAAACGCATAGCAATCTATTGGTCTATCGTCTTCGCTGCACATTTCACGTGCACACACATTGGTATATTAAGAATTATATACGTCAATAATCTTTCACTAGGAATTATTTTTTTTCAGCAATGTTGTTGCGAATCTTGGATAGCATCTTATGACTTTACTTGCATTAGGATAATGAATAAAGCATTCCTTGCGCACACGTGAATATAAGTTATTTATCGCTTCGCGGACAGAAGTGCCTATTACATGTAGATGTATATATTGTGACCGCTTCAAAGGCCACCTCGAGGGCTCGTTTGCGCACGTTCATTTAGCACATTCTTCATAATTCATAATAATCATTTATATGCTCCTTCGTTCATAAAGGTGGATCATTGATTTGCGAACTACAGAGAGACGAGTACAAACGGAGAGCAAGCAAGATAGTGAATCGCGTCGTTGTCCGATCTAACATAAATCGTTTTCACATCGCTAAGTATCGCTAAGCACATTGCATGATATTTACGGTGTGTGTAATATTTACATACGTTGTATTAATTATTTATAGTAATATGCATTTTAATTACAAAGCAAGTGTAATTAATTAACGCACTGGAATTAACTCAGCTTTCTTGTAATTGTGTTGGACGTGAGAATCAGTAAGAAATTGCAAGGAAAATATTAATTTTCTTTTGAAT